GTTTGGTGTGATGGTTGGTTGCTTTTGGTTGGTTGGTTGGTTGGTTGGTTGGCCAGTTGACTTGTTCTACTATGTTCTGCCATCGGTATTGGCAGGGATTTTGCAAGTGTTTTTCGCCAGAGAAAGGAAGGAACAGATGGAAAAGGCTGCCATCAGAGGACTGCTTTGGTTTGGGAGTTTCTGCCGAGCTTTGACAGAACCAATTCAATAGCATTGAGCTGTTCAAGGCAGTGAGTGTTCATGAATCTAGACCTTCCACAAAAAGATCGAGCACGTCCAGATGACATTACTGTATGTATGCCATACTTTATCTCCTCACCAACACCACCACCTCCATTAAGAGTCCCAAACATGCTTTCTCCAAGTCAGCCCTGAGAAATGAATTCTGAACTGGTCACAGAGCTGTCGCAGCAAGCATTGCGGCTGAGGCTGGGGAACTTCTACGTCATCGCAGGGCAAGCACTCACCACTGAGGTGCCGGGTGTTGGAGGATGGCCGTTGGCCGCATTCTAATGAGTGGATGTCATGGAGTTGATGTTCTTTCAAGGACAGACGCCATGACGACTTGGAGCAAGCCATAGCCGGACGATGGGAGAGCATCTTTTGGATGGGCCCGGCGATCGCGTTCGGCAGAGGTTCTAAGCCGGACGCTCGGGACGAAGCCTCGGTGAGCGGCCCGCTCTTCCGGTGCTGACCCACCTGCGCAGGCCTTGCAAGAGGCAGAGAAGCCTCGTGCGGGCTACTTTGGTCGGGGTGGCCCAGGAATAGAACTAAAGGCAAAGAAGGGTGGTTGAATTGGCGCAGTTGCAGTATTGAATTGGGAACAATTGGGAGATATTGAGAGTCTGAGGGATTGATTGAAGTGGGCCAAGTTACGAAGAGCGCAGACCTCTTTTTGTTGAAGGGTCCAGGATAGATCCCTTTTGAGCCAGACCGGCAGAATACGGTAGGTGCGCCCGCGTGCCCCGATGCGATAGAATAGAATGGTCGTTCCACTGTCTTTTTTTGGATGGAACAGTCTAAGGTCTCGGATGGACCAAGGAACGTGGTGGTGCAGCCCAGCGTTCGTCAAACAGTTAGAGCGACGGGAACCGAACGCAGATCACCTCCTCACATGCGTTCGTTCCGAGTTGGGCTGCTCCCCTACTTACCACCTTGGACAAGCCCCTCTATTAGCTGGAACCCAGTGATGCTGCCACCTGGGTGATCATGAAGGCCACTCTGTGTACCAAGGCCATCCATTTGGATGGGTCAGCGACAACTCCACTGCAAAAGTAGGGCGTTTGATGGGTCAGGACCCTTCAGAAAGCCTCAGGTCGGTCGGTGGGTTATACAATCCCTAACGTGGATGGCATTGCTCCGATTTTCGGATGACCCATTGAAACCATTCGTTGAAATGTTCACCACCAAACAGTTGGTTTTCACTCCACTTCCATGATTCTTTCAGGGCTTGGTTTTCACCAACTCTGGTCGACAAGAGGTGAGCCAAACTAGAGCACTCCTGATTTCTGTCCTCCATGGTCCAGAGATCCTTCATAGGCCCTTCTATGTTCATACCAGACCCAGGGCATCCAGGCAAACCACTATAGCTGGTAACTCCACTGCTAACCAGTGGTTCCAACGACTCAAACCATAGACCGAACGAATCCCTGGTTCCATAGACTTAGTGCGAACTGCCTGGGATGCACTGGGAGATATCTCTTACCAACCGGGAAAATGGGCTCCCCAGCACCAGACAGCCAAACCAGACCTCCCTCCTGGCCGCTCCGTCACGTCGGGTTGGAGAGGTGGACGGGACGGACAGACGGTCCCAGGAGACCGGCTCGCCAGCTGGTTGAGTGCCATGGTGTCTTGGACGTCAGTGGCACTCGCTCGCTGGTGTTTCCCTTTTTTTCCGAAAAAGAACTGGGTGAGTGAGAGATGTTAATTACTAGTACAGTTAATGTTATACTCGTACTAGTAGTCATGCACCTTGCTACTAGTAGCTTCTTGTTACTACCCTCCCTGAAACAATCATGGAAGCTGAGCAGACCCCCCTTGTAGAGGACAATTGGTCTTCCCGGGGCCTATGTTCCACTTCCATGATTGTTTCAGGGAGTGTAGTACTGCACTTGTTACTAGTAGAGATGGTGAGAGTGACAAATTCCCCGTGTTTGAATGGATCTATGCAGCATATGATATGGAAAAGACTCAGACCTCAATTATTCTTCTGAGATGTGGTGTAAAGGATGTCTTCTTTTGAATGTGATAGTTCGGCATGTTACATGCTCAATGTTTATCATAGTTAATTTGGGTCACTCCTAGCGAGAAGCAGGTCTACGTCCAATGAAAGGATCAAAACCACAGGCCTCTCTCTGGCTCACCACATTTTGGTGCATTTGGCTGCCAGTCCTGGAACCTTCTTGGAAACCCCTCCGGGCATTGATGGAGTCAGTTCCTGCTTTTGAGACACGCAAAGGCACGCCGTCTACTCTTGGACAGCTAAGCATCGTCGTGTTTGAAGCGGGGCGACTCCAAACATCTGAAGCATGTTTCGAACACCTTGGCCGATACGGGATGTTACCATCGTCCTGAAGCGGAAGAAGACACGGACATCAATTTCAACTTCGAAGTAGGTAATGCAGACTGCCCATATGACGAGGTTGTTCAATCCAAATGGAGGGGGTTTGCATAAATCAAGGGTCTACATCACCCAAAAACTACCGGGATCATCTCTTGGGCTCTTCTTCCAGTTCAACCCATCCTCGCGAACCAAACCGCACCATCCTCGCGCCCAAGGATGAGCCTTCCCAACTGGCTGCAAGCGCCACCACCCGAAACATCTTCTTTGGGGACCCCGCGATTGAGGGTCTGTGGGAGATTCTTCATGATTCTTCATCGATCGGGGCGTGTGTGGCTCAAATTGATCTGGAATGTCCCGAGCTGAGCTGTCAGTTCCACATCAAACACCCCAAGCACACTCTTTCACATTTTCCCCTCAAGGTCGTGTGTGTTGACGTCCGACGTTGAGACGTCAACCATTCGGAGTATCCCAAAGCGACCAGGAGATCAATCTCAAGCTGTTGACCAATGAATACTTGTTTGTGGTCCTTGTTGGTGAGAAATCGAACCACGGTCAATGAATCCTTGGCGATGGGAAACCAGGGTTGGTAGAGAACGTTGTTTTACTGGATGCGGTGGCTCTTTTGGATTGCTTGAGATTCTGTTAGGTTCCCCTTATCTTAGCCCTGTAGTGCCCTTTTCATCCAGCGGGCATAGATCGTAGATCGTCTCTACCTCACTGCCTTACTGCTAAAACTACGCGAATTTGCTCATCCACTAGGTGGATCAGGTTGTGTTCAGCGTTCCTGTATTTGGTGCTACCACACTTCGAGCACTGACTTATGTGGCTTAAGTTTGCACTTGGCTCGCTTGGGACTAGTATCCAAACATAGGGGAACAGCCTTGCAAAATCATTCAACAAACCCACGTGGCCAGCCGACTGGTGGAGGTTCTGTCCACCATGTGGCCGCTTGGCCGAGGCGCCAGATAGCCCTATTGAGTCCTATTTTCGGGGGGTACGTCCCATTCATCTTGTGGAGTCGATCTGCAAGTCGTCGAGTCGAGTCGATATGCTTTCCTCCATCTACCACCCTGAGTGAATTAGGTGCATACCAGTGAAGCCACTGGGCGACCTTAGAAAGGCTTTAGCAAAGTGCAAAGTGCAAAACATGCATTTTACCGTTTTACCCTGCATGTGTGGCTTCAGCTTTCCAAGCAACGTTTCCTAGCTACTTGAATGACCTGCTCCTGCCTTTCTCTTGCTGAGCTGCAAATCTCTCCTCAAGACCTCGTGTGGACGACGCAAAGCGAAAGCTGCAAGACTCTCCAAACGTTTGCATCTGATGGCATCCGGCAGGACCGCGGCAACAACCGGGTGCGTGTGATTTTTGGTTCCTTGGGGCCACAGCCACAGACGCAGGCGAGTTGGCGGGAGTTAGCTGCAGATTGCTTGGGGGAAGTGCCTGATGAGCCAAGCCACTTTTCAAGACATGTTTGGTCAGGGAGACCAGAGAATTCTCAAGTGCATGACGTTTTCGGGTTATCCATGGTTATCCTGTATATATATATATCGGCTATATGTTGATCATCTTTCATAATGCAGTTTCCTCTTTGCAACAGCTGCTTCCTGTAGATCATTGCATCCAAAGAGAGGGGCACCCGTGTTGGGATCCAAGCATTCTCAGCGTGAGAAACCGGGTCCATCTGGAATCACCCTGGTGGAAGACGATTTGCAGGTTGGACCACAACAAATTAGTCACTGATAGTCACGGCATTGTGCTCCATTTTATTGCTCAACATGTTTGTGCCTACGGGTGTAAAACCGAACGTGTGACTACTGCAATTTTTGAAGTATACTAAGGTTATCTTTGGTTTCATAGCATCGTCATCGTTTTCATAACATTGTCATCGTTTTCATAACATTGTCATCGGTTTCATAACATTGTCATTCTTTTCATAACATTGTCATCGTTTTCATAACATTGTCATCGTTTTTATAACATTGTCATCGGTTTCATAACATTGTCATCGGCTTCATAACATTGTCATCGATTAGTCGTGTGATTAAAATGGGGTGGGGGGGGGGGGTTGTGATGGAATGAGGATGTGGATGTCATGCTGAGAACATTGTCATCGATTTCACGACAAGTAATCTTCGGTTTCATAGCATTGTCATCGGTTTCATAACATTGTCATCCTTTTCATAGCATTGTCATCGGTTTCATAGCATTGTCATCGATTTCATCGATTTTAGTTTCTCTGTCGAACACACGTGCAATTGCATATCACACGGGGCGAGCGTAATACATGTTGGAAGCTTACAAATTTTTGTTTCCGTGTCTTTGCCGCATTCCGTGCCCGAGAAACAGATGAAGATTTCATATGGACAAGGCTAGATATAAATCTACAATGATCTACAGGCCAAGTGGGCCAAGTTTTATCCACAGCACACGAGCATCATGCCGACTGTGGATGTCATGGACGCCTTAGGGCTCATACTTCTTTTGCGGTTAGCAAAAGTGGAAAGCCCGTTGAGTTGCCTGGAGCGGTATTTTGCGATGAACCAGTTCGTGCTTGATCGATGGTTCCATGTGCCTGGGAACTGAAGCGTGGAACTGGAACTGACAGCAGGTCCTTTGGCAAGCCACCTCCTGAGAGTTTTGCTAGAACCCAGAAGACAGACTTCATGCGTCAGGTCCTTCCCATGACTCCGGGCCTGGGAAAACCTGCGTACTTGAAACTGTGCCCCGAGATGAAAGTTCTGCACAGAGCCTGCTGTCACAGCAAAGGTCAGTTGTTGGAAGCTGTGCAAGGCAGCGATTCCACCGAGCGTGCTGACAAAGTCAGATGGATCCTTCAATCCAAAGATTGATGTGTACATTCGCGGATGGCAGTGGCATTGGGAAAACACCACGTGTACTAACTTGTGCAAAAAAGCTGCGCAAGTCTACTTGCGACAGGACGCATGAAAGTTGAGGACAGCCCGGGACAAAAATGGCGACGGATTTTGCGCTGGCGCTTGGGTTTCGGCAGATTCGGCTTTAACAATGAAAGGATCCGGGACCCCCAAAAAACATCATCGAACAAGCAAAAGTACTGAGAGGGCTTGCACTTTTGAATCAAATTTGCACGACTACACGTGCGACTCCACACCCGGCGGGATGTTTGTGACCCCTAACCTAAATAACACCAGATCGATTTCTTGCAGTGTCACTGAACTTTGAACAGCTGCTTTGTCATGCAATGACAACCCAGATTCCTAGTATCCCAAAATAGGAAAACACAAATTCGACTACAGCAACAAGTTCGTGATTCAGTTCACAGCACAAGCCATAGCAAAAGCCTCTTCAAGTTATAGGCCCCTTGTCCAAAGCTCCTGCAAACACTGTCCAGCTCAGAAACAACCCTTCTGCAAACAAAGAACCTGTGCACTGAAGGGTCACTAATATTCAGTACCCAGCCAAAAATTGTTGAAGAAAGAGCTCAGGGCGTTGTCAATCCCAAATCCACGGCTTCACTGACCAAAAACACGTTGATCAAATTCATGTTTGGGACATCATATATTGCCACTTCCCTTTCAACCTGCAAATCCATCACTTCAACGCTCCTGGCCCGCGCGCCGCGCATGAGAGAAACCCTGCCCCATTGGCACTGCCCCCTGGGCACCGGGCACCGCCGTCAGCAATTCTACTGCACAAACGGCTTGGAATGCGTCTTGAACGTCGAGGGCAACGGTTTCTCAGAGAAGGCTGGATCTTGGGGTGTCAGAAGTGTCTAGCGGATCCTCAAAGTGGGCACCTTGGCAGATCCTCTAAATGTCATGGGTGTCTTTGAATTGGAAGATATGCACCTGTGAGCACCTGCTCTACTGAGCACCAGCACCTGTGAGCACCAGCCGTATCAACCTGTGAGCACCAGCTGTCACCATGGAAAGCAACAATGGGTGGTATCTATCGATCCCTTCGGTGGGATCCCACTTGCATCAGGGATGGGATCCCAGTCGATGCACTAGTCGAAGTCTCATCCCATTCCGCTCCATTCATGTTAAAGGGTTCAACCTTGGGATTTACCGTCCCAAAAGCACAACATACCAGGACCCTAGTCAGGACCCTCCAGAGAGGTTTTGAGCCCTAACAAAGGCATTTAGGCACCATTTTCATCTACTTGTAGTTGTCTACTGCTATTGCTGTTAGTTAAGAATTCTTTTCTAGGAATGAAGTGCCAAATACATCAACACTAGCTTGAGCTGGGTGGCCGCCACGCCCCAAATAGAAACAGCCGCGCCACAGATTCTCCAAATACCGGAACCACATCGCCTTCTCGCAGGACCACATTGCCTTCTCGAGGGACTACTTCACAGCACCCGTGGTTTGTGGACAGGACCGCCTGGAAGAGCAATTCCCACAGGCGGGTGGGTTCAGAGTAGATGCACAGCCAGGGTCAGACAGCCATGGTCGATGCTTCTGAATAGTGAGATGGAGAGTAGATGTGCACAATGCCCAAGTTTGGTGGTTTATGTGGACCCCCATCTAGGAGACAAGTAGGGGGTGCCAGTGCACTCGACTCTGAAACCGCTGTAATTATAGGATAATGTGCTTCACGCAAATACACCGCCTCCACCTTTTGGAGGCTGTTTTCAGTGGCAGATTTCACACCCTTTCTGCAATCTTCTAAGATATATACAAGCCCAAGGGCCAAGTTCAACCTGGTCCTTCACCTTATTGAGTCCTGTACTGCTTTTGCATGTTCCCGGATCCAGTAAGGTCCGTAAGACCAGTAGGGTATGCATTCAGGACACAGACGGCCAAGCCTTGGAAAAGGGAAGTCTCGACGCCCTCGTGTGCACCGATTCTGTGAGCACCAAATCTCTCAACTGCTGGACCATGACAAACAACACTTATATAGTTAGTTTATGTTAGTTTGATGAGTCCAGCAGTGAATGACCATCAAACACTCAAACTTATATAGTTAGTGAATGAGTGTTTGATTCCGTCTTCCCTATCTCGGATCTTTCCGATCCTCTCTCCCCCCCTCTTCCGATCCTTCTTCGGAACTTGCCCCTGCTGCACTCAGAAGACTTCGCGCAGACTCCGTGGTGTTTGGCAGTGCTGTGGTCGTCTCCGGCCAGTCGGAGACGCAACAAACGCTCGTTCAGGTTCTTCCTCTGTCCTCATCTGTCCATCTCGGTCCTGATGTGCTGCACTTCTCTCCAGGTGCATAACCTGGCGCAGTGGAGCCGGCTTTTCCTGAACAAGCCAGGGAAGCCGGATGCGATGAGTGGGGGGCTGGTGGAAGAACGTCATTGACGTAGGTCAGGGGAGCCGGATCCCTTTCGTAACCCTGGCAGGGCCGATGTAGTCAAGCATTTTTTCGAAGCTTTGTTTGCATGTTTAGGCTGTTGAAACATCTCTATAGAGTCACTCCATAGAAGTGGCAGTGGGCCAAACCCACGGGGACCTAGGTTGATCACGCCAAACAAGGAGCTCCACCGGGGTCCACCGGGCTCCGGGTTTGGACCCACAGCCCAGGCTCGTGTTCGTCGAAGAAGGACGAGCTCACCTCTTTGGCCTCGAACACCGACCTGTCCCGTTTCTTCTTTTTAACTATAGTAGCTTCTTGTTCCTAGTAGTAAGGCCAGGGTCGCCCCGTTCGTAGCGTCCGCTCGCTATGTTGCGTAGCGATGCCAGGAGCCCCTGTTCGTAGCGTTTGGTGAACCACGTGGGACTTTGAGAGTTCTTGTTCAACAGGTTCCACCAACGGTGGAGGACTCGTCGACTCTTCACATCTGGCGGCACAACGGCGTCGGGGGTGCGTGGATCCATCGATCACGTCGGTGGGGTCACCTTTATGTTCTAAAGGAAACTGAGGGAGTCAGCGCTTGGGTCATTGAGACCCCGAACTTGAGTCGACATGAAGGCATAATTATATCATAGATCCATCTGCGAGCTGCGAGCATATCATCATCTGGATCCAGAATGATACCAGAATGATCCAGATGCTATTAACATGTTCTGAGATGTTCGAACTTCCTTGTCCCAAGATTCTTTCAATATGAATACAGTAGTACAAACCACCTCCCCACCTCCTCACCTCCTCACCACCCACACACCAACGGTGCTCAGCTGTCTCACCACTCCCCACTCAGGGACTTCAACCTGGCACGGATCAGCCTTCCGGTGGTCGGGCAGCCGGGGCCCTACGGCGGGTGGCGCCAGAAGGTATGAGGTTAAGGGAAGAACGAGAGGAAAGAAAGGGAAATAACAGGACAGCCACTTCAATTTGGATGTTTGAGAAGGTCTATCTTCAACAAGCTCCACATGTATACTGCCCTGCACCTTCCAGTTGGGATTGTCATGCCCTGTGCACATCAAGTGCAAAGTCCTGTAATAACCTACATGTAACAATGTTTGCAGGAAACGGTATGTTCAAGATGTTTGTGTTTGGTTGATTGTAATGGTCTGCTGTAGGGGAGTCCAATGGAAAGCGGAACCAAACACAGAACACTTACTGGTTTTGGGTAGGGGGAATAGACCTCGCAGCATGTTGTATCCCATTGCAGATGACTGACTGATGCCATTCAGACAAGTATCAAGCTACAACCATCACTGTTCAACAATGATCAATCCCAGACCATCCGTGGGACTGGCATATTGACCGATGCAGCTGATGGGTAGTGTTTCCCTGGGCTGCATGTAGACATATGCCGATCCTATGAGTCGTGTCTGGGAAACAGGACGGGATCCTGCAGGACCCGAGCGCGCCGAGTCACGCGGCACCAAGTCGCGCCGAGTCACGCGGCACCAAGTCGCGCCGAGTCACGCGGCACCACGCGTTAACCTCGGCGGGTCACCGAGGTTCATCGTGTGCTATTGCATCGGCAATGCCGGGGGCGCCCGTGAGTTGAGTCGGCAAGGGAGAAAGAGAAAGCACCACTGGCATGTTCAACTGGAGACTTGTTCGGGATCTTGGTAGCTTTTGGGGGGCCTTGATGATGGCTCCTGTTTTGGTTTCATATGGACTCAACTGGGTAGTTCGCCATGTGCGGCCCATCAAGTGTTGAGCAGACCGTATCAGACACATACGGTCTGAATCCCCAATGGGACCAGAACCTGCTCCGTGTCCAAAACTCCATGCCCCAAAGTGGTGCGGACAACGGTCATGTTGCTAAGGGCTTCTGCATGGTCGCATGACGCTCTCGATCATGACATGCCGCATGCCGAACAATTGCAAGTGACATCCTGATCATTTCCCGAAGGAGTTCGGGCTGCCATGTTTCAAGTTCTGCCAGCCCAGACTGGTGAACCCTGAGACCGGTGACCTAAGTAGGTTGCCCAGAAACTGGTGGACAGGTTCAGCGTCGATTCCGACGGTTTTCGTTGGATGGACATCTCGGACAGACCAACTGATGTGGGCCCTTCAACCCTATGGGATTGGGGGGGAGATGATCCCTGTTTTAGGTTGGCATTCTGTGTGAGCCACGAACGGACTGATCTCTTTTTCCGATCTCCTCTTGGTGTTGTGTCTGATCTCCGGCTCGTCCGGGCGTCGGACCGGCTCGATGAACGGACACCGACCGACCGGCATCGGGCATCGGGACCCCTTCTACGGGCAGAGCATCCGCCTGTTTGACGAGGTGGGCAAAGAATGCGATGTGACCAAAGAGTACGAGTTCAAGGCTGGTCGCTTGGTCCGTACCTCAGGAGTTCGCTGCTGGGAGGATGGGGTGATTTGACGCCAGTGTGGTGGACTTGTTTTGGTCTGGGCCCCTCTCAAGCAATAGATGGAGCTAGGCGAGAAGTGGATGCACACCCAGTTGATTGAGGCATAATTACATTAAGTTTGACAGTGTCCTTGCACGCTTTTTTCACTCTACCACACTCTACCACAATCACCGTTGATTTCTTCAGGTGATAGATGACGTAGCAACCAATCATTTTTGTGCAACAAGTTGACATATACTTTCTTCATTGGCGCTAAGCATTCGCAAAGGACTGACTGGTCACCACTGGTCCCTCCAAGTGGGACCGGCATTTTTACCGATCAATTGAGGTGGTTGTTTCAAGGGGGGGAATGTATGTAAATATGCCAGTGCCACGAAGTCGTTTTTGGGATAAGAATTGCCAGAATATAACTCTTGTAATAACTACTCTTAACATATCGGCCCTCCTTAGCGCAATGGGGCCGATCTGTCTTCTTGACGTCTACAAACCCAACGTATGCCGGTGGTTCTTGATCGCCCGGATGCTCTACAGCTCCATCCTTTTCCGTCTCTGAGTCACCTCCCAGCACCACGTCGCTTGGGTATTCCCCTACCTTGGGCCTCCAACCACCGAAGGTAGGGACAGACCCCCCAAAACCTACCCCAAGCACCTTCGAGTTTCGAGGGATTGATCAGTGCTGCTCTGAACTGCCCGCCCGACGCTCAGCACGTGGTGGGCCCCAACGCACGCAGCACCGTCTATGCACTGGCGGGGAGTGTTCGGGTGGGTGGGTGGAGCAGGGAGTGTTCGGGTGTTTGCCGGGAGGTTCCAAGAACAGCTTTAAATGGCTTTGGTCATCTGGATATGGAACAGTTTTTTCCCCAAACAGTTTACTGTTAGGGGTTCTCAATGCTTTACAGAATGGTCGCCTTGGTGCTGGATGGTCTGGTCGGGTTCCCGGCTGGCTTGTCTCCAACTTGCTTTCATTTGTCTCCCAGTTCTTTTCATTTGTCTCCCATTTCTTTTCATTTGTCTCCCAGGCTGTTGCTTGTGGTCGGGTTCCCGGCTGGCTTGTCTCCCACTTGCTTTCATTTGTCTCCCACTTCTTTTCATTTGTCTCCCAGTGCTTTTCATTTGTCTCCCAGGCTGGGTGCTTGTGGTCGGGTTCCTGGC